TAAAAAGAAGAAACCTATCTTTCCTCCAACAGTCCCCGTCCCTCACCAGCGCCTGCATCTTCACTTGGTTGCTGGTCTACGGCCGCCTTTATTGGCTGTCGTGGGATGACATCACTCCTGTGTATGCTGCGGACTCATTCATCCGGCACACAGGGGCCATGCTCTGTAATCTGAGCTGTGCATGCGCAGCTCAGTTCACATACTGGAGTACGCTGGTAGCAGGCATGTAGGTGGATTTTATTGCATTGTATGTCTCTTCTGCAATAAACAGCCTGCCTTGCCGTTTGTCACAGGCGGACTTTAGCTCCATTTTAATTCTTATGCCCTTCCCGCCTACACCTCCGAAGCTCTTAAGAGATTTCAGATGCTGGGAGGCAGAGGCGGGCATTTCGGACATGTAACCGCCATGATTGGCTGTCACATGATTGGAAAGCTCCCGATCACAAGTAGCCATTGGGAGCTTTCTGTTACCCGCCTGTACCTGTGCAGGGAGCACACAGGCTGCACACTCTCTGCCCAGCTTTTTTTACATTTTGGTATGCATATATGAAGCCCACTGGTTAAGGTCCACCCGTGGAGAGGTCGCATTTATGCGTTCGGCTGGCGGGGAGAGGTTAATGGCACCCAACGCACCTTGCTAAAGAACAGGCAAAATCGCACACCAAAACACATGGTGACAAAGTACCAAGCATTTTGGTGCAGCATATTTTAAAAGTGCCATGCATTGCTGTGGTAAGATTTTGCTGCTGTAGGTTGTGTATGCAAATGAACAGGCTGTGCTACCGCAACGCATGGTAACATGTAAACACCTTGCAGACCTGTAAACCCCAATTCTTACCCCACAATCTGTTTTAATCTACAGCCTAGTTTGCCACAATCCTATTTAAATTGAAGAAAAAACACCATCAAGACTCCAGTGTTTACTAATCTGAACAGCACTGATTTTATAATGGTCGTTTTTTACTTTAATTAAGCAGATTATCCTTCTGGCATAATAGTTAGGTCCCACCGAGATTCGAACTCGGATCGCTGGATTCAAAGTCCAGAGTGCTAACCATTACACCATGGAACCTCCACCTGTCAGGTGTCCTGGGAACACTTCCATTCACATGTAGTATACCTGGGAATACTCTACCTGGCAACTTGGTGTGATAGTGCAGTAAAACTGGTATGAAAGAAACACAGAGACTGATAAAAATTAATCTTTTCTTTTCCCCATTTTTTACACCAAAAGTTGCATTAAATAAATGAAAAAAAAAAAGGAAATAAAAACTACCCACTATCATGGAAAATCACTCATCACAATCAGTTGTGTCAGCTGAAACAATAGTAAACCATGAGTTTGTGTTCACGTAAAGTTTACATTTTTAGTTTAGTAACAGTGCGCATAGAATTATTTTTAAAAATCCTGAACGCCTTTTCTATCATTAAGGCTTCAAGTACACGGGACACTTCTGAACGATGGAAACTGACTGCTGGAAAACGTAGGTTAAAAAACGTCTGTATAGCTGTGTTTGCATACCGCATGTATGCGCGCTTATGAGCATTTGCGTTTGGAAGCGTTTTTTAAAGATAACCTCAGGAGACCTTCCAAAATGTCCAGAATGCACTGAAAAATAGTAAAAAAATTAACCATTTCAGACATTTTGACGGAAATAGAGAGAGCAGAAGCAGAGAGAGCAGTATTTGTTGAGATTAGCTGTCTTTTTTTTTTTTTGTGTGTGGTGTTTGGATGTGTTCCAGCTCATTTCTGTGCAGACATTATTGCAGCAGTGTCTAACATATTTTCTTTCATGCGAAGCCTCAAAGTATGGCGTACCAGGTCCATTTCAGTACCGGGAAAACGCTTTGCATGCATTTTTCATGATGAAAAACGGCTCTGGACAGCATCTGGAAATGGAAGAGTTAAAAAAAAATTTCCAAATGCTTATAAACGCGGTTAGCTGCGTTTACAAGTGTTTGGCATTTGATACGCTGATAAAATCTCCTGAACGCAAGTTTGGTGCGTTCAAAAAAGCAACTGTAAACTCAACTGCCTGTAAATGACTGTAAATGACATAGTGTACATGGACACATAGGAAAACATTAGGAAGAGTTCAGGGGCTGCTGAAAAAAATGCAGAAAAGCTCCTAAACTTGAATTTATCAGCTGCAGTGTACATGGGTCCTAATTGTATGTATTGGCTAAACTGTGAGGTGCGGAGGGTGTAGAGGAGGGAGAGAGGTGCAGAGGGGGGGGGGGGGGGGGGGGGGTAGAGGTAGAAGAGGTGTGGGCAGGGAGTGAAGAGGGTAGAATACACAGAGGTGGAGATGGTGGTAGAATAGAGAGGATGAGGATGATTATAGAATACACATGGAGGATATTGATGATAGAAGAATTACAGAGGATGGATATGGTTTTAGAATACACATGGAGGATGGAGATGATGGTAGAATACAGAGGATGGAGATGATGGTAGAATACAGAGGATAGAGATGATGGTAGAATACAGAGGATGAAGATGATGGTAGAATACAGAGGATGGAGATGATGGTAGAATACACAGGGAAGATGGAGATGATAGAATAGAGAGGATGGTGTTGATGGTAGAAAACAAAGAAAAGGGAGGGCAGTGAAAGTCTATGGAGGGGGAGAGAGACCCCCCTCCACCCCCCACTGACGAAGATACCTCAAGACGGGAGTGTTGGCATAGAGGAGAGGTAGGTGGGGGGGGGGGGGGTTGTGTGCAGAGATGAGTGATGAAATGGGGAGTACAAAGGTGAGTGATGGAATGATGGGGGGGGGGTGGAGAGATGAAATGGGGGGTACAGAAGTGAGTGATAGAATGAGGGGGGTGCAGAGATGAGTGATGGAATGGGGGGTGAGGTCTGCCGCCCGCCCTGACTTGAACTGTGTCACTCACTGGAGGACTAGACATGGACTATGGAGGAGCACTTGAAGAAGAGAACAGAGGTGGTGATGGGAAGAACTGCCTGGATGACCATGCCTGACTGCCCTGCATGTGAGCCAGCAATGAAGGAGTTCAGTGACAGGCAGCTCCAGCCTCCAGTGGCCACATAATGTCTGTGGGAGGGGGGGGTGTGTCCAGGGGTGGACTGACAACTCATGGGGCCCCCGGGCAATAGGGGATCATGGGGCCCCTGTGTCCTTGCCCAAACTCAAAAAAGCCTATGAAAAAGGTACCAGGGGCATCTCATGGGGCCCCCTACTGACCCTGGGCCCTCGGGCAGTGCCCGAGTTTCCAAATGGTCAGTCCGCCCCTGGGAGTGTCACTGATGTAAGGGGGAATTAAAACATTAAGGAAAGTTGGGACACTGATATAAATGTTCTACCCTTATATAAGTAACTCTTCCTTTGCTTAGTGTATTCACTTTGCGTAAAGTGGTCTGTTGCCAGCATTCTCTCTTACATCAGAGTCTGCAGAATTCCCCCTTCCCATGGGGAACTCTGTGGACCCTGATGTAAAGGGTAACTCGACTCTGATTGTGATTGTGATGAAAAAGGGAACTCTATGGAGTCTGATGTTAAGGGGAGCTCTGTGAACTCTTATGTATCAGAATTTTCCTTTACACATGGTCTGCACCATTTACCTTTTTATATCAGAGTCTGCAGGGTTCCCCTACTGTAAAGGGTAACCCAGTAGACTCTGATATAAGGGGGAACTGTGCTAGGTTATATTAACCTGACCTTCATGTAAATGGAGAAATATGTTTTTTTGCTTTTTGTTATATCTTAAACACATTGCTAATAGCACTAGCTAAGTGTTTGTATCTTAAATATTGAAATGTGCACTGCTTTGCCTTGAAAACAGTCAGTTGATGTACTTTTTTGAAGTGCCAGTAAAACATGTGGCTCTGTCAGTAAATTTCATAAGTTTTTTCAGAAAATAAAAATAGGTGCTGTCAAACAATTATAGGCGTCCTGTCAGTAAATGTCACTTTGGGAGGCTTGAGACAATGGAGAGTAGTGGGGGAAGAGAGGTGAGATCCTGAACAGGCCAGAACAATTACTGCTCCCTTGATTACAGAAAGAGCCAAAGACTACATTTACCTAGCATCCTACATCAGAAGGGTGCTACAAGAGTAGACAGTGTGTTTTGGCCCACCACAAACTAAAGGGCCCTTGCAAGAGGGAAAATACAATTATTTGTAAATACTGACAACTTCCTCCTTCTCTGTAACAATTTTTTAGCAATAGAAAACCTTTTATTTTTTAACAACCTCTAAAGATGTGATGATTCTAGATTTTATCAGTAGATGGTGCTGCAGGCAAAATCTGAACGTAAAACTCAAAACTCTCAAGACATAATCAATAATACCAATAATAATTGTAATTTACCCCTCTTCCTGACCAGGCCGTTTTTTGCTATAGAGCTCTGCGTTAATTTAACTAGCAACTGCGTGGACATGCAATGGTGCACTCAAATGATCGTTTCTACATTTTTAATTTTTTGCGCTATAAACAAGAAAAGACTGCCGATTTTGAGAAAAAAAACAATATTTTTTAATTTTTGCTATTACACATATCCAGTAAAAAAAATTAAAAAAAAAAAAACAAATGTCATCATAAATTTAGGCCAAAATGTATTCTGCTACATGTCTTTGCTAAAAAAAAATCCCAATACGTGTAAAATAATTGGTTTATGTGAAATTTATAGTGTTTACAATGGCGGTATACATACTGGACTTTTGTTTTAAAAACATTTTTTATACTAGTAATGGTGGTGATCAGTGACTTATAGTGGGACTGTAGTGGGTATTCTGACACTGGGGGGAACTGAATAACTGTCACTGACATCACAAGTGACACCAATACAGTGATCAGTGCTAATAAAAAGCACTGACACTGTACTAAAGACACTGGGCAGGAAGGGGGTTAACATCTGGGGTGATTCCTAGATAAACAAAGGGTTAACTTTGTTCTGTGTGTGTGCTTTACACTGTAAGCACACTGCTTTGTATGGCTCTGCTATACAGAGCCATACAAAGCAGTGTGTAGGAGCTGACAGGGGAGAGATCTGTATTGTTTACATACAGGTCTCTGCCCCATCTGTGACACACGGTGATCGCTGGATGCCGGCGGGGAATCACCGGCGGGATCTGGTGATTGACAGCTGAGGCTGTTAATGGCTCGTGCACGCCCCCTTCCCTGGAAATGTAAAATCATGTATATACACGTACTTTTGTTCACCCCTGCCGCCCTGTAGCAGTAGTTCTGCTATAGGGCAGCAGGAAAGTTGTAAAAACAGCTATAATTAGGGTTAAAGGAATCACAGATGAACTTCAGCCAGCATAAAATCACCACTTAACCTATAATAACCAAACTGTGTTCTGTGTTTCATACGAGAACTAAGACTGAATAATACTCATTAAAAATGCAAATTTCACATTTAAATTTTCCCTTTTAGAAAGGCCCTTAAATATGTTTCTAGTACAAAGCCTGGACATTTACAAATGAAATTTTTATTTTATTTTATTTTTTATTTTGTGTAATTTTTTTTTAATGAACAAACATGTAAGGTAAGAAAGGAAAGAAGTTAATAAAAATGAATTATAGTATATTAATAAGAGGTTAAGGAAACATGCACATGGGCGCATTTGCTGGTGCAGCATAGAAACACTGGGTATTTCTGGTGTGGTGGATGTCCTAGAGATAAGCACAGCCACCCGTAGACATGAATGAAGGCAACTACACAAAGCTATTTGGTTTCAATTTACAAAAAGATGAAAATCTGTGAATGCTTAAAGTAGGTGCACAAACGTAATGCACCAGAGGAGGACTGAAGCTATAGCGGCACATAGCTGCGTATAGCCTCCTCCACACATTTATGTCAATGGATGGCTGTATACAGCCCTAGGAAATGCAGCACACCAGAAATACTTTGCCTTTATGCTGCACGGGCAAATGCAAACATTGTGCATGAAGCCTATTTGTTTTTTTTTTTTTTTGTTTTTTTTTTACAGGTGCAGGTTCGCTGACACATGCCTAATGTACAGATCAACTGAAAGAAGGACAACTGCAGCCTTCATTCATATAGCAGCGGCTATCAGGTTCCACATATACAGCACAGGATCATCTGTTCAACTAAACAGCCCTGCAGAATATAGTTGGAGAGCTGCTGTCCTGGGGTGACCTACATGGCTTGAAAATCAATCCTGCTCTTTTATGTATAGCAGTAGCCCCTGTTAGCACTCCTGATACACAGAGAATTACTCAGATGTCAAAATTATAACGGAATCCCTAAATTACACAGGGAGAGTGGCCCTACCCTTTAGGCTTAGGATGTCAGTTGAACAACTTTGGGATGGCTGGTAATCATTATGGGTCCCAACCTGATAAATACAAATAAATACAATGTGATGTAGCGCTGCTTGTAGAATATTAAATAAACATCAATCCATCATGGTTGAGCAAACAAATTGAATGAACTGAATACAAAGTGCTCAAAATGCCTTAATAAATTATAATGAATTAATATAGGTGTCATCAATTACTACACAATCAAAGTGAACTGATATTACAGTGCTCCAAAAATGAGTGTAAAGTTCATATGATTCCAAATGTAACATAATCCAACACCACAGAATGAGAATCCATGTTTAGTGTGAATTCCATGCATTAATTAGTGCCTCTTCTGTGCTCTCAGAACTCTCACCTCCAACGCATGTAAAACTGAGTCACTATCTCCTTTGGCCACTAGGGGCGATCCACTCCTCCCATTTTGTAGATGTTAAAGTAGCTAGTACAGTTGCCTCACCCAAAAGAGAATACGCCTCATATAGTATAGTTCATATGCCTCCGCTTATGCCCGACGCATTGCATCACTGTCATGTGACTTCATCAGGAATCCCCTAAGCAGAGGCAGATAAAGGAAGTACAAGCCATGATCTCTTATCTGTAAAGCAAATTTCTTTCATTTTTAATGTAAGTGCAATTTTAATAAATATGGAAGTTTTAGCAATCTACTACACTATATGAGGCGTATTCTCTTTTGGGTGAGGCAACTTTTACTCATTGAAACGGTGGAACCCCAAGGTTTACCTTAACATCTACCTTATGGGAGGAGTTGAATAGCCCCTAGTGGCCAAAGGAGATAGTGATCAGCTGCGTAGATGTCTCATTAACCACTTCAATACCGGGCACTTTTACCCCCTTCCTGCCAGGCCAATTTTCATGTTTCAGCGCTGTTACACTTTGAATGACAATTGCGCGGTCATGTAACACTGTACCTAAACTAAAGTTTTATCATTTTGTTCACACAACTAGAGCTTTCTGTTGGTGGTATTTAATCACTGCTGGGGATTTTGTTTTTGCTAAATTAACAAAAAAAGACCGAAAATTTTGAAAAAAAACCCACATTTTTTTGTTTCTGTTATAAAAGTTTGCAAATAAATAATTGTTCTTCATAAATTTAGGCCAAGATTTATTCTGCTACATTTCTTTGGTGAAATTTAATAACTTATACCAGTATTTATTTATTTAGCCTGTTAGGAAAGTTATTAGAGTTCACAAACTATGGGATATACAGTATCTGAAAATTGATCAATTCCTGAAGTACTGACGGGCCAATCTAATTTCTTGAGGGCCAAAAAATTGTTAGAACAGTACTGAGATCCCCCAAATGACCCCTTTTTGTGAAAGAAGTAGTCTGAAGTCTGCAGTCCAACGTATTTCATAAGAGGCATGCGCAATGTTTTTTGAAGTTGTAATTTTTTGTCATACTTTTTGGAAAATTAAAAAATTAAAAAAAAAACGTTCACAATTTTTTTTTACTTTACATGTCACCAGTGACAGTACAGCATGTCATCATATGAAAATGGTGTGGTGGTGATCAGGGATTGTCATTCATTCTTTAAATGACTGGTGGGACACAACGGGAAAAAAAAAAATATATATTTTTTCAATTTCTTTTTATATTTTTTTACATTTTGTCTCCTTTTTTAAGATTTTTTTTTCATTATCTGTTACTATGACCAAAGTAGTATAATGTTACCATAGTAAACATTGTACAAACATTTGGGGAAGTGATCAGTATTTTTTTCCTTTTTTTGTACACAAATTGATTGTTCCTTTGCTATAAGCAAGCATTTAACTGAATGAAGGGTTTTGATCCTAAAAACACTCAAAAAAAATAAAGCACCCATAACTGCATTTACTAGAAAAAACCAAGGTTATGTTGTTGTGATTAGCTGTGATTGGCCATGGCTAATCACATGGACACAGATGGGCTGTGATTGGCCCAGCCTGTGCATGTGATTGCTGTGACCATTCACAGCTAGACACACTTGTATACAATGGATGGCATGAAAGGAAAGGAAGCCATCCAAAAAAAAAAAATTGTTTACAACTGTCCTGTGACATGCTGTGATTGGTCACAGCAGGTCACATGGTACTGGCTATGGGGCTGGCTTACCACAGATCTGTCTCGGGCCGTTTGGCCCTAACCGCACGGCCGTGCCCAAGTTACACGGCCGGTGACAGAATCTTGCACAGCGCGGCCTGTGGGCAATGCGCAATGATGCATTCCGGGAAGGGATGCCATAGGGCGTCCTCTTGGAGGACGACGAAGTGTTTCGCCTTGCCCCATTTGGCCATAGGGCCGGGTGGCAACTGGTTAAACATGCAGTTTTACTTGCGTTGGTGGGATGAGAGTTCTGAGAGCAGAGAAGTGGCACGCTAATTAAATGCATGGAATTCACGCTAAGCACTGATTCTCATTCTGTGGTGTTGGATTACGTTACATTTGGAATCATTACACTCATTTTTGGAGCACTGTGATATCAGTTCACTTTGTGTAGTAATTGATGACACTATATTAATTAATTATAATTTATTTAGGCATTATGAAGCACTATGTATTCAGTTCATTCACTTGATTTGTTTCAACCATGATGGATTGATGTTAATTTAAACATTCTGCAAGCAGCGCTACATCACAGCAGCCTGAGAGCGATTGTCATTGGGTTAAGTTACTTAAGCAATTAACTCTTTAAACTCCAAACTGCCACCAGATAGCTTTGGGCCTATCAACCCGTCATAATATTAGCAAGAACAAGCATGATACAAAAAGTCCATACACATACTGTCACAATATACAGGTATATTCAGAGATGTATCATATACAGGAGCATTTTTCAGAGAGAACTCTTTTAGTTTTCATTAGTGCATTTAGAAACAAATTCAACATTTTTCAAAATAGGGTTTAATAATGAAAAGGTGAAAATGGTGCAAAAAATATTTACAGAAAAAAGGGTGTTACAAGGAAAAAAAGAGACAATAAAGCATTTTTCAAAATAGGGTTTAATAATGAAAAGGTGAAAATGGTGCAAAAAAAAATATTTACAGAATAAAGGGTGTTACAAGGAAAAAAAAAGAGACAATAAAGCATTTTTCAAAATAGGGTTTAATAATGAAAAGGTCAAAATGGTGAAAATAAAATATTTACAGAAAAAAGGGTGTTACAAGGAAAAAAAGAGACAATAAAGCAACAGAGAATAAGGATTTGGAAATGAAGAATACCTGCAAAGTCCTTGGTTTTAGCAGAGTCCAGTCAATAAGCAAGGTGTTATCTGCTCACATAACTTGACAGATGTTCCTTTGTTGATTATACAGGAGAGCTGTCTAAAAGGGTCTGACATTTCCTTTTTCTGTGGTATTAAAGGGATGTTGACACAGACAGGGGCAGACTGACAAATCATGGGGCTCCCGGGCAATAGGGGATCATGGGGCCCCTGTGCCCTTGCCCAAACTCAGAAAAGCCTATGAAAAAGGTACCAGGGGCATCTCATGGGGCCCCCTACTGACCCCGGGTCCTCGGGCAGTGCCTGAGTTTCCAAATGGTCAATCCGCCCCTGGACACAGACCATCTGATCAATCATTCGGTTTAAGGAGTGGTGGCTGGGCGCTCACTGTGTTTTATGACTGCATTGGGCCCTCCCTTACACACAATTTTATACTAATATTCAGGGCTTTTTTTCAGTGGGAACATGGGGGAACGCAGTTCCAGCACCTCCAGCTTTGAGTGTATTTAATGGCAAGGGGTGCTGGGTTGTGCTGGAAGG